AAAACCCCAAAACCCCAAAACCCCATTGATATGAGATATAGATAAATTTGTGAGTAGATATTCCAGTTTAGTTAAATATAGATTACTATTATGTTAATAAAGTTTATATATTTTTGCAAATATCCATAAAAAGAAATAAGTCTTACAATGCAGAAGTACAAAAAAGCCTTCTTTAATTTTCCGTTTAAAATGATAGTCTCAGTATTAATGTAATATCCCATTTTTTATAATAGTCTATTTTTAGTTCAATTATAATCTTATTTGATTGAGCAAAAGCAGATTAAAGCTGCTTTTTGCTCCCGGCTACAGTAGGAGGATCCAATGGAGATACTGTTTTCTTAACTATTGACGAGATGGATGGAGTATCAGCAATCGGTGGTTATAGTTCCGATTCCTCTTTAGTAGCACAATCTAGCCTTCCAAATCCAATACTTTTAGTAGTAAATGGATAAGGAACAGTACAATGGATCAAGACTTTTGATGATTATTTTGACTCGGTGACATCTTTGGATATTTCTTCTTCTGGAGATAAAGTTTATTTTGCTTTGGATACCAATAACGCTTAAAATTTGATAATTAGTAGCGTCTCAATTACAGATGGGAGTTCGCTTTCAGCCTACTAGTTTGGTGCAAGAGGTATAGTTAAGCCAGATAGTATAATAGCCACATCAAATAATGTATACGTGGCTCTGTAGTATAATAGTAAATATGCTTTTATGAAATATTCTCAATCATCTCCTTCATCAACTTAATTCTATAAGTACCTTGGAAATGATGGCAGCTATGCTGGAGGAGTGTATCTTTACAAAGACATTTATTTTACCTACGGATATGTTAAAAAGTCTTCATCTGTAGTTATCATTCTGATAATATTATTTTAGGCATTTGCAACCATCATTTCCTTTGAAGATGATAATTACAAATAAGATTTTGTTTACAGTTAAAGTTCAACACCTTATTATGGAATTGACAAATTGAAAATTGATGAAGACGACGACAAGTATTATGCTTGGACTTGTGGAGCGAAGAGTGATAATACGGATGTGATGATTAATAGAATTAATCTAGATAACAATAAAAATTTTCAAACTGGAACATTTTACTCAGTGTAATTTATAATTCCTAATTTAATAAATTCTTTTAGTAAGGTTTCATAGGCTACAAGATGTGTTTAAATACATATGAGAAGCGACTCTAAGGTTTATTTTCTTTTCTATAAACAATCAATGATTCTTACGGGTTACATAGACATTACTAAAAATGATGATAATAAAATTGATTACTTAAGACTTACCTCAATTGATTCAGATTCGAACAATGTTCTTTATCATGGACAGTATCATGTATGCCCTTTCATTTATTCAATTTTTAAGGCTTCTGGAAATTTCTACTTCGTTGGATCTGTAAGAACCTTAACTTCATATAGTGGATCTGGACTTACAGGAAGAGATATAGGCATTTATTTTCTTACCAATACACTTCTAAGTTAAATCAAGATACCATATGAAACTTCTGATTCTCCAGCTTAATTATATACTTATGTTAGTAAGTGAAATGAAAAACAATATTTAAACATTAGAACTACTAAATTTTATATTCTAAGCTTCACCTAAAACTCTATATAGATAGTGGCAGTTGTGGTAATTGTGGTATAAATAAAAACTAGCTATAATCAGATATTCAATCTGAAACAGTATGGATAAGCAGTTATCCTTTAACAGCATCCTCAAAAACGAATACACTACAACAAATAGATTCTGCAAATCCAACTTATACTATAACATCAGATCTTCAAGACAGAACTTATACTGTTGGTAGTGATACTGAAAAATACTCTGTTGATGATTTTTCCATTAATGGTGCTAGTTCATGCTCAGATAAAAGTTTCACCTATGAAATAATCACAGGATATCCTTCTTTCGTCTCTCCTTCCTCTTCATCCAACAAGGAAATAGAAGTATCTACATCTTCGGAAACAGACATAGGTGAATATACTATCTAAGTAAAAGTAACAATAAACAATGGATAGACATTTACTGGTTCATTTAAATTGACTATAAAATCAAAATGTTCGTCTGTATCTATCACAAAATCATCTATTTCTGCTTAAACCTACTATGTATCTCAGCCCTATCTTTCCATCCAGTTTTCTTCATTTTCTCTGAGCCCTAGCAACTCAGGTTGTACAATAACATATACACTTTCATTAAGTGATGGATAGGCTTATGATAGTTCATTTATCAGAACTTTCTCTACAACAAATAGGACTATTATTGTTTACACTTAAGATATATCTAAGGCTTCATATACGGCATACTCTTTAAAACTAACTGGATCACTCACAAATTACCCTGCAGAAAAGGATTCAATAACATTTAGTCTAACTATAAAAAGCTGTTTCTGGGACACTCTATCAATTAGTCCTAGTATAACTTAAAAGACTCATTATGCTAAGCAAAGCACAACAGTTACAAGTAATTTGGCGACTATCACAGTGTCTCAAAGTTTTTCAGGGTTATGCCCTACACCCACATACTCTTTAATGAAGATTAATTCATCTAATACTGAAGTTGCAGCAGACATGATCTTTTCCTTAAGTGCCAATGTTTTAACCTTGATAACAACAGATAATACTATGATTGGTGAATACACTTTGAAAGTTTATGCAAAAACTATTTGGGAGACAACCACCTATAAGGAAGCCTATAATACATTTACTGTTACCATATTAGACTATTGTGATAATAGTGCATAAATTACTGCATGGAAACCAGGAGAATAGACCTATTATATTTCTTCAAATTTGAAAACAATCTAATTCGATATCTGGACAAGCACATTGGCTGTAAGTGATTGTCCAATAACATATTCATCATCTATTCCTACTGCAATTTAATCAGTTGTGACATTTAGTCCAACCGATAGATAATTTACTATAGCATAAACTAACAACATGATACTTTTGGGTACATATTCAGTTTCTATAACTGGCTATTTAACTTCAATTAACTCATACACAGTTAGCTTCGACATAATATTTAAAAACCCTTGTGAAAAAGCCACGATAAATATAGGAGCAACTTAAATTGCTGATTAAACCTACGACTTGAATTCGATTCAAAGTCCTAATCCATACACATTTGATGAGTTTTATAGTTCAATTACATTACCATCCATATTAGCATACTGTGGAACCTTAACATACAAATTCAAAGATGCATCTGGATCTGATTTGGACTCCACTATCTTTACTGCATCTAGTGCCTCAAGATCTGTGACAATTTTTACATCTGATGAGAGCAAACTAGCAAATTCTCCTTATACAGTGACAGTAAAGGGTTATTATAGCAATTTCTATTATCCTTCCGCTTCATTTACTTTCAAGGTGAATCTGCAAAAAAACTGTTTCTATTAAAGTGCCACTCTTCCTGCTGCTCAATCTTAAACTTACATGCTAACAGATTCCTAGAAAACTATCAATCCTGGCTTATTTTCACTTTTATTCACCACTGGATGCCCATTAGTATACACTTACACTTGCTAATTATAAATAGATAATAGTCCTTGTCTAACACCAAATCCATTTATTACTAGTTTTGAATCTTCAACAGGAATATTTAAGGTATATTCCACAAGTGCAACTACAGGAGTTTATTTGATTAAGATAAAGGGATCTGTAGTTAGTACATAGGATTCTGGAACTTATACTTCTTCAGAATTAATAATAACGTTAACAATCAGTCCTCTTAGTTGTTTATTAGAACCTCCAACTACATTAATTGATCCTATTAAGGTTTACAGTTTAGGAACAACATTAGATATACCTTATAATGAATTCATAGTATCAGTGGGAACTTGTAACACATAGTACACATTATATTAAGATTCTTGCACTTCTGGAACATAATTGACAGCAGGAAGTGGTGCAACTCTTGAGACAGTAGTGTCTCTAGACACTACCAATAAAAAAATTATAGTACGAACATCAGATTAAGCATTAGCAGGGAAGGAATTTGTTATTTGTTTAATAGGTAAAGATTTAAGTACTATATCTGAAGCGACATAAACTTTTACTTTGAGAATATCTTGTTGCCAAGTTACGGCACTTACTCCTAGTTCATTAGATACATCTACCTCATCACTGACAAGCTAGACTTATTTCATTAATTAAGGAACTATGGATATACCTTTTCATGCATTCACAGAAGCAACAACTACAGGAACAACTTGTGGCTTTACTATTACTTATTAGCTTTCAGTAGTAGGGTACTCTTCAATACCATCATTTATATCGTTAACATCAAGCACGAATCCATTAAGTTTAACAGTGACTTCTAACTAAAAATAAGATGTACTAAAGTCTCCTTATACTGTATTAATTACTTCATCAGTGAACAATCCTGGAGTAGCTACTCCTATTACAGGTCAACTCTCGATTCCATTAGTGATAACATAATAGAATCTTGCAGCACCAAAATTTATCCCAAGTCTTTAAGATATATCTTTAAAAGTAGAGGACACAACTGATCTAGTATTTGCAGATCCCATTGATACAGATGGAGATGGGTTTACTGTAAGTACACCTAAATTTGGATAAGCGTCTTTTGTATCTGGTAGCTATCCTAACTTTATTTTACAACCAAAATTCTCAGATCTAGGAGAATACAAGGTACAAGTGACAGTTACAGATGACAATATAAATTCTTTGTCTGCTACTTATTCTTTTATAATAAAAGTATCCAAATCAGCTTCAGAAAATAATAATTCAACTAATGCCACATCTAATGATACTACAGGAACTGGGACTAGCCTAAATAGTGGAACATCTTAAACTATTTCAATAAAACAAGCTGTAATAAAAGACAAAAAGTCAACAAAATTAACAGCAGAAATAAAGGAGATTTCAATAAAAGGATTAATTACTGTCACTTTTAATTCTGATGTGATTGTACCAACAAATTACACAAATTTCGATTCTAAAGTTATGCTTATTCAAGTCAGAGATGAAGAAGGTAAAACTGACAAAAGTATTAATTATACTTGGAATTTAACTTGTAAGAATATATGTTTTTATTAAAATTTCCTAGATTTCACTTCAAAATAAATGAAGATATAAATGAATTTTGTTGATCCTTCTCTAGTTTCTAAAATTGTAAGAAATTTCAATGAAGACAATATAATATTTTTTAATTTAGAACTTGAATAAATTAGTAATCACTTTCCTATACAACGGATTTTTTATTGAAAAATCATCAGGACTACCTATTTCTTATTCCTATTAGGTCAAGAAAGATGTTTCGAAATAATTGAGATCAGATAGTATGGCTATATCTAATTATATAATATAGGTGCTACTGCTGCACTAGCCGAAAATGGAGGCTCTGGAGTTAGCGCATTAAGTTCTTTTATGTACGGTTCACTTGCACTAAATGTTATTATGTATCTATTATATTCGATAATAACTTTGCTTAGGGCCGCTTCTTTATCAATGCTTTGGGGAATGGTTAATGTTCTCTAGTTAATTATTAACATGCCTTTGATGAATGTGAGTTTTCCAATGAATGCAGTATTTTTCTATAATTTGCTGATGGATATGGCTAATTTTGATTTACTCCCTTCAAAAGAAATAGAGTCTGGTGTATTCGAGTTTGAAGATTCAACGACCCCACCTTAATTTTAAATGATGGATATCTTTTTAACATTAATCTATTAGATTAGACATTTTAACTAAAAATACGCTATGAAACAAGCAATGTTATACAAAATTTAGGAAGCATGTTTATCTACATGGTTGCTATTGGAATCGGAATAATATTCATTTTATTAACTAGATATTTTGCTCAGAAAAATACAAAGTATTTTTAATCTTTAATTAAACTTGGCCTAATAGAGCTAAGAAAATCTATGATTTTTTTGCAAGCCGGCTTTTGTTCAATACTCCTATTAGAATGTTTTTGGAGGGTTTTATGTCTTATTTTATTAATTCTTGCCTTAATTTATATGTTGTAAGATCTTTATTTAAATATAAATTAATATAGCTTAAATGGATGACTCACAGTGATAGGTTTGCATCATTACTAGCTATTATGTTGGTTTGCTTAAGCATAACTTTCCCATTTCTAATAATGGTCTTGCTTATTCCAAATTAAAATCAGCTTCAAGATAAAAAGTACTCAGACACTTATGGGGCACTCTACGCTGATATTAGAACAAACTCAAAACTCCCCCTTTTTTTCAATGTCATTTATGTTGGTAGAAGAATTATATTTGCTGGAGTAGCAATTATCGGTCAAAATCATCCGTTTTTTTAAATTCAAGCCTTAATATTCCATTGCCTTTTTATAATTATGTTCTTGATAATAGTAAAACCATTCTAAAAGTCTTTAAATAATTACCTTGAGATATTAAATGAAATATGCATTTTAGGAGCATCATATCACCTCTTAGTACTTACTGATTACACTCCAGATGATGATATATAATATATGGCTGGATGGTCACTTATTGGAATAACAGTTTTTAACATGCTAATCAATATATTTGTGATGGTTACTCTTTCATTAGCTGGTTTGATAATGACAATTAAAGAATTAAAGGAAAAATGTAAGGAATTCATAAAAAAGAAAAAGGCAAGCAAGTATTCTTAAGATAGTAAAGGAATTGATAACTTGGACTAACAATATCAGGAAAATGATTAATACATGGTTGGATTACTTGAAAACTCCTAAAGTATAAATATAAATATGACAAATATTACTGAAGGAAATTCTATATATATTTCTCAAAGCATTAATAACTCTAAGCCTTTGAAAAAGGATTAAATTTCAAAGAGAAGATTTAATAAAAAACCGTAATTAGTGAATAGAGAATCATTAAATGAATTGGAAAACACAAATGATGATCTAATAGGAAAATTAGCTCCCAGAGATAATCATCCCAAATAGAAAGGAAGATCAAGAAGAATTAGTTCCTTTAAAATTGATTAAGATCAGTATAACTTCAATAATGGAATAGATTCATTCAAGCTTGAGGAAATATCAGAAAATGATGGGATTCGATAAGAATAAGATGAAATTGCTAAAGAGATGCTCAAGCTTTACAAACAAAAATAAGAAAGTTTGATGAGTTAATACAATTAACTAAATTAGGAAATTAGTTCAGAATAATTATATGATTCAACTTAAAACAATAGAAGAAAAAGCAAAAATATTACTGTAAGAGAAATTGAAAAGATAGATTCTCAAGACAGATAAATTCATGATGATTTGATCATGAATATAAATTTCAACAATGTAAACTATGAAACTCCATCGACAAGCTAGTCAATTACTAAACTACGGAAGAAATCTTTTATCAATGATAGAAAAGCTTCTAGCAGTAGTATTACAGGAACATTTAACTCTAAAACTTCCAGATTTAATAATAAAAATAAGAACTCAAAAGTAGGTGAAAAGAAAGATAAAATAATGGATGATATTATAGTTGAAAGTCTAGATTTAGAGTAAAATCAAGATATAATGACTTTGAAGGAGATGAAATATCAAAGAAATGATCATTTACTTAGTTAGTATAACGATGAAAAACATGAAAATGATGTTACTTCCTCTCTTGAGGTTCATATAGGGTAGATGCATTAGATGATGAAAACAAATCCTTAGGATTAAGGGAAATAAGATGGTGATTAAAAGCTCTTTAAAAAGAGCAAACGAAGAATCAGAATGAAAACTACATTGTGATTTGAAAAATATAAACACTATAATGATATTGCTATTGTTACAAGGTTATTAAAATAGCATATTTAACAAGAATTATTTAATAATCATTAATTTTGTAGAATTCTTGAATAGTGGGGTTTTGGGGTTTTGGGGTTTTGGGG